ACAAATGCTTTTGCCTACACAACTGCATGGCATGCGTAGTCAAGGAAAAATGACGCCGTACTACATTTTAAGAATCTATAGGGCTCTTCATTAAGATAACGTGTTCTGCGGAACTAAAATGGGTAAACTTTTGTTCCTCTTAAAGGCATATCTGTATTCCTCACTAATATACACTGCTTCCAATGACTCTAGGCATCTGATTGATAAACCATAATTTTTACACCTTTTTGCTTATTTTTCTTTTTCTTCTCACCAACTTCCACACTGCGACATCTGTTATGTCTAGTATGATTGAATATTCATGCTGGGTTACGTTTTACCACACATTTTTGTGGGCTGTTGGTGAAGATGTTTGGTGGGCGAATTTACTAGACACTTCTTCTGGCTCGATTTACCTGGTATATCTTTTTACCTCAATTGGCCTTTCAGTTTATAAGCTACACCTTAATCTGAAGGAACATTACTTTAAAGTTGTAATCGTAGATTTGGTTATATTAGTCCTAGATGTACCCTCTTCTTAACCTGACTAATGAGTGATGCATTTACGTTAAGCCAATCGTGAAAGAACGAAAAATTCTTCGCTAACGAAATTAAGCCTCAGTCAAACTGTCAAACTGAAGAGTAGGCAAAGGGGTGCTGAGAAAACCAATCTTTTGAGAGATTAGCAGATTTTTAATGAATGAAGGCCTACGTTTGACAATATACTAGTTCTCCGTTGTGCTTGAGAAGGATAAATTATTAAAGATTATAGGACAAGAAAAGAAATTTGAAGTTAGGAAATTATTTTAAGATAAAAGCTCCTCTCCTCTCCTCTCCTCTCCTCTCCCCTCCCCTCCCCTCCCCTTCCTTACAAAATTTCTTTTGATTATAAATTTTCCTCAGACAATTATAATATCCTTTTGACCATAATCACAGTAATTTGTAATTTCTTTTTCTCGAAGGCGACTCTGAGCCTCTCTTTTCCATTTTTTTACCCCAATTTACAGACACTGACGCTGCAATATTCATTACTCTACCTTGTTGACAGCCTACACTAAAAATCTTTTTATGAATATTTAGAGGCTTGTCTTATTAACTTACCTGATTTTTTATACAACTAGGCATGCATTGTACATTTTTTTTGCTTTTAGTTAGAATAGGCTGCCTAGATTAAGACATGTCTCGAGTATTCCGTAGGTTCGACAATGTGCTAACGATCTCACATGTGTCCTGGTGCAGTACTCTAGAAACCCACCATGTTATAGCAAATTATTTACTGAAAAATATACGCAACAGACATAGGCGTTGCTGTCCTCTGCTTTTAAGACAATTTGGCTGTGGACGCATCATAATGAGACATTGCTTAATGAGCCCGATATGTGGGTTATGTAGAAATCATCTGGCTTTCTGATATTAGTGCAAGTGTGCATGCTTGCGTAGGTGTATGCAAATGTAGGAATAACCTCGTTGAAACTTCGTGATGATTCATGGCAGGACTTCTTTTGACCTTCTTGTATTCTTTCCTGTCTTACTCTCAGGCCTATTGTGTACGTGGTGGATGTCGTGAAAGCGATGGATGGTGTCGTGTGCTCTGGGGCAAAACGGGTTACAGAGCCGGTGGTGAGTGTTTCCAGTTTAATCTACCAACTCGGCTTAATCCTCTTCATCCGTACTCGGCGGCTCTGTCGGATTCAGTACCATCTGGTCCAGACTCCCCTTATCCGGGCTCATCCACGTCCTTCTGGCCAGCCGACGGGATGACTACACAGACAACATTGCTGCAGTCTAGTTCAACTGCTCAGCCTGTCAGGACGATGTCTGGTATCAACTCGGGTGTTGAGCCCGACTCGACACAACTACCAGAGGGGAACAGCATAAATGTCCCCCTCGAATTTTCAGCTAGTTTGCCCTCTTCATTGTCATCATTATCCGCCAATTCTCATTCTTCTACTTGGCGCCACTTGCAGACTTCAGCCATGGCCGCTGCTCGTGGCAGCGGAGCAAAATCACTGCCACTCCACCACATCGACTTAGTGGCCAACTGTGGCAAATTAAGACCTGAGCCCGCAGACCGATGGAACGACATTAAAGCATGGCCGGGCAAAGCTTGTCTGTCCAGGTAGGTGTCTCTTGGCTCTTTTATCTGTAGAAGCCTTCCTTATGCTCTTCTGCATGTATTGCTGGCCATTTCATTAAGACTACTCATCAATCTATAGGCATACTTACAAAATAGCATATGCCTAGTATAAAACAGTGATTCTTTTCATAAAACTCGTTCCATCCTTGGATCAAATTAGAGCCACAAAAACTGACGAAAATCTTTTCCTTGATCTTCTATCTGCGAGCCAGGCTCCCATCCTCTCTTTTTTTCCATCTCTATCTGCTCCTTTAGCTCTTTCTTTTTAAGAAATTGCATGAATTTCACTATCCCTCCAGACCCATCAGCTATAATTTGAACCTATCATTCTATAGTGGCAGAAGTTCCTTTTTCTTGATATTTTTAAAGAATTTAGCTGATTCATATAGCAGTTTTTCTTAAAGTTATTATTTTATTCATATTTTTAATTAATATTATCTACTTATTACGCAATTCTGCTTCTTATATTTTACAATCTTTTTTGCATACAAACTAAAACTCAGAATTTCCTTATCTTTACCTTCCATAAAGGCTCATATTCTCTCTCAGTCTCTCTTATTCGCTTTTCGCATAAACTAAAGCTTCCCTATTTTCTACATAATATTTTTGTGGCAGCCTAGACGGCAGGCTATGCTTAAGTAGAAGCTTGGATCGTAATACCTACTTGATTTTTCTTTATAACTAACTATGCGTTAAATAGCTCTAGCTTATCGTCACACCAAGCTGCCTATATTAGGACGCACTTGAGTATTCCAAAGGTTCGACAAAATGCTAGCAATTTCACTCTTTTCTTTCTGTGGGCATATTTGCGGAAGAATATATGCTTTTCATGATACTCTAATTCTTTTATTCACTCTTTTAGTCAATACGCATTCTTTGAAAATTTATTTCTCCTTTCTCGAGCCTGTCACCTGTCGCTTATTTGTGCTTCCTTATATACTTGCTTTGAAAATACTTGAATATCATGCCGTATTAAAGCAATATGACCCGGGTGGTACCTTGTTTACCTCCAAGCCTCTGTTCTGTGTTAAGATCCAATTGGGCTTACGAGCCACCAGAAATAATATAAATCTTTTCCAAGATCCTCATTCTGGGACCTAGGATCCTCTCCTTTCCTCCTCTACCTTCTTTCTATTTTTTTCTTCCTCCTCTCCTTATTTTCTTTCCTCCTAAATAAATTGAGCAAAAATTTGTACCCCTTTAAACCCGTTTGCTGTAGATATGAAGACAAAGATAGTGTAGCCTTCTTTTTGGTCGGAGTCTCTTTTAGCTTTATAGTGTTGGTTCGATCTTGTTTTCGCAACTCGGTAGGAGCGTCAGGAAGACTTTGTGGAACATACCTAGTCCCGTGTCCTCTGCCATAGTATTCGTGATTTCCAGCTTTGGACCATTGGCTTGGTATATTCTCATAACGTTTCTTCAGCATCGTAATCGGCATCATCAGTGAGAGGCGCAATTGTTAGCACAGAGTACGACTTATCAAAGGGACAAGTGGAGGCAATCTCCTTGACTAGGGGCTAGGTAGATGGGCTATATGAAGTGGGGTTGAGAGGAATATATGTAGCACTAGAAGGTAGAGAAAAAATAGGGGCAAGGAGTGATGCTACAGCGGTTGAACAGAAAATAGATTAAGGGAATTGCCTTCACTTGCCACTGATAAGTTGTAACTCTGTGCTAACGATGGCGCCTCTTACTGAAGAGGCCTGCGAAACATTTGGAAATGTACGAAGTCACTTGTCCGGTGCTGGAAATCTCGAATGCTATAGCAGAGGACACATGACTAGATACGTTCCACAATGTCTTTCTGATGCGCCGACCAGGTTGCGAAAACAGGGTCGAACCAACACTATTTGCTGTACTTTACACCCAGCATTTTCTTTTTTTTTAATTCACCGAATTCATATAGCATTTTCTGTGAAATCAAGTACTTAATTAATTAATTATTATTAATAATCAATATTTACGAAATTTAATTGCTCTTTTTATTATAAATCTTCCTCAGACATTTATACAATATTTTTAGGTATAATAGTAGGTCCTAGGAATTTCCTTATCTTCACATTCCCTTAAGACGATTCTGAGTCTATTCTGCTAATTTTTCTCTTGAAACGGTGAATCAATTTTTTCGACAACCTAGATTGCAGGCTGCCTAGACAGAAGCTTGGATCATAATGCTTACCAGATCTTTTTATAAAATTGGCCATGCATTAGATATCTCTAGCTTCTCGTCACATCAGTCTGCCTAGATTGATACATATCTCGGGCATTCCGAAGGTTCGACAGAGTGCTAGCAAATTTACACTTTTCTTTTTGTAGACAAACTTTTGGAAGAATATTTTCCTAGTATGAAACACTGAATCTTTTCTCTGTTCTTTTTGTCAATACACTTGTCCTAAAAATTTAATCCTATTATTTAGAGCTTTCCATGAATATTCTGTCTTCCGCGTGGCCCAATCGTGTCAGAACCATTTGGCCTGGAAGATACTGTGTTTACCTTCGGGCCCTTGCCTTACGTCCGAACACCATTAGGCTAACGAGCCTTTAGAACCGACAAAGTTCTGTTTCTAACTCTTTTAGCTGTGGTCTAAGCTAGCTAAACTTCTTAATTTAAAACTACTTATACTTTTGAAGTATACTCACACCATATATGAGTAACGTCATCTATTAAAATAGTACAAACATAGTGTACTCATCCGCAATCCTACCAAATATGTGACATCGGAGCAACCTGGCTTGCCTTGATAGTCGTTATCATCTGCCTCGTGACCCGCTAGCACCCGTGGCCATATAGTCGAACGGTAACATGTTGTTAAGATGTACAAGGCCCAGTTTAAAGTTTCTATGTCGGTGAAATTCACAACCATTGTAAGGCATGTTCATATAAATACGGGAAATTTCCAAAATCAGTCTCTACTTCATCTTGAAATATCTAGGGTAATTGGGTTATATTCAAGAATTACTTAATACTTTAAGCATACTCAAAACTAAATACCACATATTCGTCCAGTTCCTAGGCGGATGGTTTTGTCTTGAAT